GAAACGAGTACTAGGTAAGGATGGCAAATCAATAGATGAAGTGGTGAAACTTCATCAGTTGAGGTGGTTGGGACATGTGTTACGTATGGCTAACCACCGACAGCCCCGATGAGCTATGTTTTGTGGTGTAGGAGTAGGTTGGAAGAAAGTTAGGGGCGGCCAGACCAAAACATGGCACAAATCCATGAAGTCACTGACAAGTGGACTGAGTCATGTTGGTAGATGTAGACTACCTGGTTGGGGTCCGCGAGACGAAAGTCATCAATGGTTAGAGACCTTGAACGACATGGCTCAAAATCGTTTGCAATGGCGCAGGTGCATCCACTCTTTGAGCTCTCTCAAATCCTAATCTTCTGGATTCGTCAATACCTCTGCCTTTGTCTTTATAATCTTATCTCACTGAATTATATTTTTTGAATAATATCTTCGAACTCTAGTCTTCTTTATTAAAATTAATACCTCTACTATCTTTATCACTATGGGATTTGATTTGACATTTGCGTCTGTGTGCTAATAATGTGGTATGGCAACATGAACTTATGTACATACGTACGGAGTTCTACGTTGCAACTGACTGACTGACTATGCTAGAGAACAATCAGATTGCAGACGAATGAGAGATTGAGAAAATGTGCTGGAGTTGAGTAGGAAACACTGGAATCCATCAACTTCCACTACAAAGCAAGCACTTAACTGGAATACTCAAGGCGAACTACTATCTAATATGCAGCACAAAACGGGAAAAGACAGTATTTGATATAGATAACAATAATGGAAAATCGAGGACGTGACGAATTTTATCAGTCCTATAACATATCATGGTTTCTCACCTTCTTGTTATTAGGTTTATGATACAAAATCGGCGTATGTATATCGAGCAAAAGACTTCAAACAAGCAGTCAATAGAAAATGGTAACTTACCAGTTTTCCAATGTACGCTGTGCCACACTTACATTGATTCGTAAAATAACTCTATGATCAACCAGCTCCAATAGTGGATGAAATATTCTTTGACGGACTGTTGATTATTTTGCATCGTATTCTCAAATAACTACACTGACTAATCATCTGACGTCGAAAACAATAAACTGCTCAAAACAAGAGTATCCGATCCACTCTAGGTACGTTGTCTCAGCAAAATTGCTTTGAAAAATCAATCCACATCAAATCAAATCATTCAGATCATAAAATGCATGAATTGAATAGTCGTGCACTGTATGGAGGCTTTACCGTTGCGGTGGTTGAAGCCTGAAGTTTTTTTATTGACTCTACCCTGAGTACTTATTATCTTTTAATAGATTGTGGGGACAACAAAGCAGATTCCAACGGAGGAGGATATCAGAAAGAAGAGCTGGAAGTGGATAGGACATACATTGAGAAAAGCACGCAATCACGTCACAAGACAAGCCCTCCTTTGGGACCCTCAAGAGAGAAGGCGACCAGAGTAGCAGCAGTCTCTGCAGCAACTATTTTTAGCATACAAAAAGGGAAAAGCAAGATTCTCCGATACAGCACAATATGCACAAACTATATTACTCTTGATAGAGATGCTTTGGAGGGCTTATGCATAAGTAATATCGTGCATATGTAAATGTGAAACATCACTTTAATTAAACACATATTAATGTTCTAATAATGCATACAAGGATATCTTAAATAACCAACCAATCAACGTCAACAATGAAGGTGATAAGTTAGGCTTTTCGGTGAAAACACATTTAACAATGTAGGCTGACAGTTGACTGAGACTTTCATGATTATCTTAAAAAAATTATTGATTAGTGCGTGTTAAGTGAAATGTGTAAATGTGTGTGTGTGTGCTTGCCTCGAGATCATATCGAAATGTGTGATCATGGTAACCAAAAGCTTTGTGGTGCTTTACAAGGTACGAAATATGCAACTGAAATTATTGTGCGATCCAAAACGTGTTAATATCATTTGGTATTTTAGATGCGAGTTAATAAACTGTTCAAATGAACTAACTTGTCACACCCGTTCACAAGTTATAGGATTCTAATGTTGAGATTAAATAGAGAAAGTGGCTCTTAATTAACTGTATTTCAGCGAGTGCACACCCAATAAACTACATGTCTTGTGATGAGCTAATACGTCAATTTGCATGGAATTATTTCAACTTGGTAGGAATACAGACTATCCGTCTAGCATTTATTGTGTATATTAATGTTAGACAGAATCACCATAATCCTACAAACTTCTCTCTCATCGTGGTGATCATCGTTGTATACTAATGACTAACATGGACAAGAATTATCGATGTTCTAATGAGGAATGGTAAGCAACAGAGTTCGGCGATGAGAGATACTCACTACTGGTGACAGAGAGTAATGTTTGCACGGTATCACGATCTGATTGAAGTTGAAGATGGAAACCATTAGTGATGGGTTCGGTGATGTTATGTTTGTCCATATTCCGAGAAGTAGTAGATTTGATATGTGAGTGAGTGAGTGATTGAGTGATTCGTCGGTGTACATTGTTGAGAAAACCAAACGTAGGAGAATGTGTCTAATTAGTACTGTCTGATTGTCAATGACTGTCTAATTCATGACGAGTCATCATGGTTTTTAAATTTACTGTGAGTATTTGAATTATTTGTGAAAATTCTGACTTCAGAGAATTCAAATGCAATCCAGCATCATCTCACTAGAACTTTGTAATTTTTATCAACAATGTATAAACAGGATGTGCTAAGATGCATTGCGAGTATCATGCAAAATGCAGACTGTTGGAGGTAGCCATCACAAGGTACCGTTTGGTCGGTGTTTCGTGTTCACTTCTATTTGTCAGCAATGTTTAGTAAACTGATTCTGATTATGGAATCCGAAACTACATCACCTGGTATCGCAGTCAGAAGTAATTGAACTATTCGAGGAATGTATGCTGTCTTGTTGGACTAAATACTGATGCTGAGTAATCACATGACTGAGACGGATGTTGTGTTTTTGTAGATCTTAAAACTGAGTTCAGTCGGTAATAATTGTCGTACCTATGAAGATTTTAGATAAAAATTGAAATCATTTATTGCATGTTTATAATCTAGTTATTGTTTCTTATTGATATTCACAGAATTAAGAAAAGTAGCTCTGTACCCAGTGTTAGCTACACTTGTTTTCTTCAAACTACATTATGATTTTGTTCACAACTTACTATGTTATAATACCTATCAACTAATTAATAACTGGATTACGAATCCTGATAGCTAGTTATTTAAATTCTTATAATAGGAACTTGAAACTACACAAATTTTTTTAAAACCAAGTTATAACTATGACTAAGTGTAATTTTAAATCAATCTGTATCTGTACATCGATTATTGACAATAAAATGCACAACTGATATAAATAATGTACACAGTTATCTCTTACTTCGTAGTTTCTGTTATTGAACTGATAATTAAGTAACACACTACAAGTGTAGCACATATTGAACAATCATGGCAAATACCTAATAATAAAATCATTGTGCAGATAATGTTGTGTGATTTGAACAGTTTTTTTTATAGTTTACATGGTGGTGGATTAAATCATTAACTGAATGTACGTCTAAATTACGAACTTCATAAAAAGTTAAAAATCTATGTTAACAGAAAAAAGTTTTGAGAAAGTAAATATTAAATAAATTTATTCTGTAGTTTAATGGTTATTGCAATAATAACTAACATGGTTTAAAACAAATGCTATTGTCAGATTTATTCTTAGTTATTGGTAAAAAGTAGGAATGTATGTAAAGAGCATCAAACAAATAATTAACAACGGATTACCCTATTACAGTTACATTTCTTTTGGTGAAAACTGGCTAGAATTACAGAACACAATTATGAAATAGCCACTAAGGTTTAATTGATTAACAATTATTTTTAAATGCTCAGGAAGAGATGATACTAAGTTTTTATATCAAGGTTATAATAATTTAGCTTGGTCGTATGATCTGCTAAAGTTAATGAAAACGTTTTCTCTGAAGATATTAGACCATTTAAGCACTTTCCTGAATCCGATCTTAAGATGGGCAACTATAAACGTTCAGTTCAGCTAAAAGCTTTACAGCTTTAACTCATGCAATAACCCTGCTAGAAAAAATATGATAATGGTAGTTCTTATAGTTCACAATCAAGTACACTAAAACAGAACAATTAATATGTTCAGCAAAAAGCATTTGTTAAGAAATGGAGGAACATAAAAGAAGCACTCTGTCGGTTTTATCGTAGATGCAGAAGATGACTGAAGGAAAATTAATCGTTTAAAGCTTAACGTCATAAATGAGATGAACTCTGGATTCTCTTAAAGTGAGATTCAGGCATGTTTAGTGTGTATTGATCTTGTGGATTTCAGCGGATTATTCGTCGACGAAATCCCAGTACACAAACAAAAGTTTATATGACTGACTCATCTACGGCTTAGGGAAAAGATGTCCATACGAATATACACCTTTTCACTCAACTTTATTATGGATATGCTTTTATAGATAACTTTTTTATCGTCTGACCTTCTACCAGAAGATACATTTGCTGACTAATAATATGCAGGTTTGTTTGGTGAAGATGCTGACGAATTGCAGTCCGCCGACCAACAATATAAAAACATGTTAGGGATGCGATTCTCCCCCTCCTAATACAAAACAATGCTTTGGGATTGGCTCGCATCGGCATCTGAACTAGTGTTAGGGAGTGTAGTTGAGCGTTTTGACCGCTTCACTTATCTTGAGAGTCTCATCAGCCCTGGTGGTTTGCCAATTATTCACTTACAATTTTGAATGTTTTGATATGAGCGCATGTGTGTCTATAAATTACTTTACTCATCACGTCTTTAGTTTATTTTTGTGTCCAACACTATCAAATCGGGATGGCGCGCTTATCTTCGCCGCTTTGTGTGTCCTACTGATTTGAGATGTGGAGATTCGGACCAATAAATAAATATCTGTACGAAATAGAAAGTTGCCTGAAACTAACCAATTGAAGATTAGAAATAATATTAACTCAAATTTTTGGAGAAAAATTATATTTATATATTAAGATTTTAAATTAAAAATAAAAATAAGGTAATCAGGATAGCAGTCAAATGAACTCATAAATAAAAAATAAATGAAAATTGGAAAAGTATGAGTATTTATTGATGATTAGAAACCAATGTATTATATTTTGCTATAGGTGAATAAGATTAGTTCATATTTCTAGATGACTTGTGAATTGTTGTTCTAAATTTTCTTAGAGATTGAATGAAAATTATTAGAGGAATGATGACGAACTGGAGCACTATGCATACCATTTTCAGCTGGAAGTTTATTATGAATCCTACTGTTGCTTGTCATGTTTCCACTTTTTTCTCGATAACCAAGAGAAAATCTTACATTGAATGATGAATGAGGTCGTTCATTCACTAGATTTGTGTTATTACTGCTATATAGTTTGGGAACAGTAGGCATAGTTTCGGGGAAACAAGTGCTTTCTAATTCATGAATGCTGTAAAATGAATCTAAGGATGATGGAATATTAATTTTGATCATATCACAAAGATCAATAAAAGCGGTTAGAGTCTTTACCACTTTATTCAACTTTAATGCTGCATCGTAATTTCGTTCTCTGATAAAGAGAAGTCTTGGAAGCCATACTCGTAGAACTGAAGAACGTCTGTTAGAAGGGTCTAACGAAGCTAATTGAGTAGCTAAAAAATGTACCAGATTTCCGGAGGGAAAAAGTATCCAAACTTGTGAGAAAGCGAAATGATTTGATTGTCTATTCTCCGACACAAGGCAGTTGAGAGTTGTAACGAGATCTCTAAAACTATTAAAAGTTAATTGTATGGCATTAAAGCTGTGTACAATATCAGGTCTGAAAGCAGTGGAAATACTACCTGAAATTAATGACTGATCAGGCATCCTGCTTAAATTATTATAGAATTCACATAATTCACTGATGGATGATGAGCCATCGTTGTATATATTAGCAACAGCACAAGCAGCTACAGCAAGTCCAACAGACGATTCACTAAATACAGAAGGAATCTCAGTAGAAGTATATTTTAATTGTTGAAACCAATATGCTAAAACTACTGCCAAACTATAGAGAAAATTAGGGATTAAATTGTTTTCCGACAGTGTGACAAAACCCAGATTATCTTTAATAACTTCATCCGTGCTAACTTTGCCGAAACTTAAAGGAATAGACTTGATTGGAATTCTATACATCACTAATTTATCATTTCGTCTCACATATTCAATAACATCAGGGTTTAAACCAACGAGTTTATTTTCCATACCCAAACTGCGTTCCAGTGATACATATACTTGATAATGTAATCTTCGAATTAAGAAAGATGATTCGTAGACAGAAAATGGACACTTTGGATCTTCTACTGCAGCTCTACGAAAAGCACCTCCAGTTGAATAGATGGATGATATTGGATATACTTTCCCTTTTCTGAAATTATCAAGAAGACGAGGAGGCCATCCTTTGGTATAGTCTTCATGCCATAAATATACTACATTGGTACCTTGTAGTGAATCAATCACATCTTTAAAACTATTATTGGATCTTAATGTTGATTTGGTCGTTGTAAACGTATTTCTTGAAATATCAGAATAACTTTTATCATTCAATAAACTCATAACATCTTTAGTTTCTTCGAGAGGGCAAATAAAATTAGAAATGCCATGTACTATACTGTTTATCATAGAAGTGCGCTGTTTAAATGGATAACAGTTAATAACATCTTCTAATGGTTCAATGGAATTTGGTTGGAACTGTGAAAACCATTCAAGGAGTACAGATAATCGGTGTTCTTTGTGATCCAATGATGAGTTATTTGCTTGCAATTTTTCTTGTAATCTTAGTGGAAGTTTTACATGAGGAACAACATCTGTACCAAATAAAACAGCCAAAAGAGGCAAATGGAAATCTGAACATTTCATCAAAATAGAAAGTTGAGGAATAAATCTATGAAAAAGTATCGGTTTCTCAACATTACATTCGGTTGAACTATTCAACAAACTCAAATTTATATTAGCTAAACGAAGTGTTAAGAATGTTGGACGTGAATGTGGTTGAAAAATTGAATTATTAAGAATATTTTGGCTTTTTAACATGAGAATATAATAATCAGATGATAAACCAATAATTGGGCATCGTAAAATTGTCGCAACAGCGGTACAAATAGTCGTAGAAAGAGATTTTACTCTTATACATTTCCATTGGAATTCATTTACAGCATCAATAAATATGTCAAGAGATGAAAAAATTTGTCGATTGGGAATTTTATCTGGAGCATTTAATTTTAAAGCTGTAGCAATTTCTGATATAAAGTTAGATTCTCTTCTTTTTTTATATTCTACTTTACAATCCTGTTAGTACGAAATGAATGACGAATAGGATTATTCACAAATTAACAATAACAAAAAATAAAAAAGACATTGAAACTGAATCAATTGAGGTGGTTAGGAAATGTGCTACGAATGCTGAACTACGGATTACCTCGACGAGCGATGTTTTGTGATGTAGGGGTAGACTGAAAGAAACCTATGGGGGAACAGATCAAAACATGTCACAAACCCATGAAGTTGCTGACAACTGCACTGATGCATGGTTGGTAGGTCAATCAATCCATCAACAGCAACATAGAACTTCCTACGTACGTACATCAGTTCAAGTTGACATACCACATTAGTACAGAGATGCAATTGTCAATTCGAATTCCACAGTAGTAGAGGTAGTAATATTATTAGCAGTAACCGGAAATTTTAGAGTTCGATGATATTATTAAAGAAGTAGAATCTAGTGAAATAAACTTAAAAAGAAAAAGATAAAGGTGATGAGGAACTCTGAAAGCTAGGATTTCAGAGAACACAATGAATGAATGCAACTGCGCCATTGCAAACGATTCTGAACCATGTCATTCGGGGTGTCTGACCATTAAATACTATCATCTCGTAGGCCAGGTAGTCGACATCTACCAACAAGACTCAGTCCACTTGTCAGTGACTTCATGGATTTCTGCCATGTTTTGGTCTGGCCGCCCCTAGCTTTCGTCTAACCTATTCCTACACCGGAAAAATATAACTAGACGAGGCAGTCGGACATTCGTGACACATGTCCCAACCACCTCAACTGATGACACATCAATACTTCGTCTATTGACCTGCCATCCTTACCTAGTACTCGTATTGTAACGACAGCATTGCTTAATCGGTTGTCCAATAATAAACGAGCAATGCTTCGGAGACAACTATGATCAAAAACTTACGAATTTCTTCTACTCTGACTGGCCATGTTTCACAGCCATAAAGGAGGACGGGGAGAAGTGATGCGCAGTACACTCGTTTTTGGTTAGCGAACGGATATCTCGCCTACTCCATAAAGGATGCAGGTTGGCAAACGCCAATCGAGCCTTCTGTATCCGAGCTGAGATTTCGTCAGTCACTAGGCCATCTGCACTGATCAGACTCCCCAGATAAGTGAAGCGATCGACATGCTCAACTGCTTCACACTCTATCACTAGTTCAGGTGCGAACGCAAGCAAATCCTGAAGCAAAATTTTGCTTTACGCGGGGGAGAATCGCATCCCGAGCATGCTTGCATTGTTGCTTAGGGTAGTCAGAAGACGCTGCATTTTGTCAGCGTCTTCACCAAGTAGGACAATGTCATTGGCATATTCTAAGTCAACTAATCAATCTCCTGGTAAGTCCGCTCCTGAAAAATCAGACGAAGATAATGTTATGTGTAGCAGCATGTCTATGATAAAATTAAACAAGAATGGAGAAAGTGGACATCCCTGACGGACACCACTATAAGTAAAGAATTCCGATGACAGTTCGCCATTGGCTCTCACTCGACCTGTAATGTTCGAGTAGAGAGCTTTTATGGGATTAGTCTACTTCTTTGGTACACCTTTTACTGATAGACACGATCGACAGAGTCAAATGCCGCTTCAAGGTTCAGGAAGACAACTATTGTCGGACGCCTAAATGTGTGTTCGAGGACCTGACAAAGAGAAAATATTTCGTCTGTACAGCCACGTCCAGATCTGAAACGAGCCTAGTTTTATCGAGTATGCTCTAAGTCAGGCGTCTAAGTATTATCGAGGCTAACAATTTAGAAACTATATTAGTTAGACTAATTCCTCTGTGACTAACACAAGAGGATATTGTCCTTCCTTATAAATTGGGACAATCAGCAATTGAGACCAGTCAGATAGGATTACGTCCAGTTCCCAACTTCTGGTAAGCCGAAAACAAATACGCGCACGCACTAGATCATGGTCTGAATCTAAATAAGTGTTCCAGAATGTGTGGCAGTCTTCAATAGAGCCTCTCCACCAATGACTTATAGAGATGTGATCTAGCTGGGTCGGCTTTGGGGCTCCCTATGTCAGGAGAGGTTTCCTTCTTATGCTTAAAGTTAGTTTTTGCTAGAAATAGGCGGTTATCTGAGCATAGCTGCAGCAGACGGTAGCCATTATCTGTTCTATTGGCCGCGAAACCATAAGATCCACCCAGGTGTCTTTCCTTTTCGCCCACTCTACCTACTTGAGCGTTAAAGTCGTCAGCCATTATTACTATAACAGAGCGCCTAACATTCTGGAGAAATTTAGAGGTTTCTATAAAACTTGTCTCTTATGTCGTCTGAACTGTAGTCAGTGGGAGCGTACGCAGATACGACGAACAGGCAACGGTGAGTGTCCCTATCCTCCCAAGTCCAAAACGTCCCATTTAGTCGGACAGCGCATAAGCGACTGTCTATCGGGATCCAGTCTAAGAGAGCTAGTTCTGCCCTAGGACTTAATATTGTACCTACACTGGAGAGGTCGCGAGAAGCGGCATCAGGGCTTCCAGATACATGAAGCGTAAACCCAGTTGACTTTCTTTCTGGACAAGGTGCAATCTTGTATGCGTGTTTCGGAGACGCAACATACATCGATCGCACAGGATCCCAGAATTCCAGCTAATGAAGCCTGTTGCCCTATTTGGCATAGGGTCCGAACATTAAAAGCTCCAATATGTAATTTAGTACGGGGTTTCAAGAGACTGAGATTAATGTTTCGTAAGCTCAGACCGTTCGCTTCAGCGGTACGACGTGACAAACGATCGAAAGAAAGGTTGGCCGAGGAGATCAGGGAGTTATTATGTGTGGAAAGGATTTCACTTCATTTCAATTCGGTCTCGTGTGCTTTTATGGGTATGAGGATGGATGTTACTACCCGGCTGCACATACCATGGAAGGGTTCTGGTTGTCAGAAGGGGTATCGCCTCGTGACTTCAGAACTCGGCTTCCATCATGAGATGTCATAACTCTTCTAAATGAAGACTTTCTAACTCCCAGAGCAGGGTTTACATGGTTTGAATTATTTTATCGTGTACCGACCGAATTGCAACAAGACGGATCATTGTGGAGCAATCAATTGAATGGAACTCACCACTCTACATCAACTTCATCGACTACGAGACAGCATTCGATAGCATGGACAGGAAAACACTATGGAGGCATCTTCGACACCACGGCGTGACTGAGAATATAGGCAACATCATACGGAATTCTTACGATGGATTAAACTGCAAAATCGTGCACGGAGGACAGCTGACAGACTCGTTCGAGGTGAAGACCGGTGTCAGGCAAGGTTGCTTACCCTCAACCTTCCTCTGTCTCCTGGTGTTCGACTGGATTATGAAGACTTCAACATCTGGGGGGGAAGTACAGTAAACAGTGGACAGCCAGGATGTAGCTGGACGATCTGGACTTCCCAGATGATCTGGGTTCGAAGAAATTTTTCAAGAAGAATAACCCGGTGAAATAAACTTGAAAAGAAAAGGATAAAAGCGATGAGGAATCCAGAAGACTAGAATTTTGGGAGAGGACAAAGAATGGATGCACCTGAGACACTGTAAACTATTTTGAGCCATGTCATTCAAAGTCTCTAGCCGCCGGTTATTATTGTTTTGCGGACTGCAACCAGGCAGTCTACACCTACTAACCATAGCTCAGTGCAGTTGTTAGTGATTTCATGGGTTTGTGTCATATTTTGGTCTGCTCCCCCATAGCTTTCTTCCAGTCTACCTCTACATCACAATACATCGCTCGTCGAGGCAATCGGTAGCCGAGCATTCGTAATCCATGTCCCAGCCATCACCGTTGTGAAAAGGCAACAGTGAATTTATTAGTTTTCTGGGTTAACACTTTACTGCTGTCACACTACTCTACAGTCAGAAGCACTGCACCCTCAAAACTTAAGTTAGTCCTTTGAGTCTTACCGTTCTCTAACCAACCAGCACAGCATGGTAGAACCTTAATTAAATATGAGTTCTCGCTTATATAGTACGGTTGAATAATCACGATAGGCAAGCTCAAAACGACATCAAGGTATCAGCTTAAGTTTGGATTACTAACAGGGAACTCCAACAAGAAAGGTATTTAGACATGCAATAGTCTGGTTTTATTTCTATTCAGACAAAAAAGCCTGTTTGACTGTGGAAATGCTACAGCCAAACCAACTCTGCCATTTCATTAAACTACCTTAACTAACTTGATGTTTTTCAACTCATTACACATGTAAAACTGTAAATCTATCAAAAATCTTTCGTCTTCTACGAAGGTATTCCAACGAAATCTCTAATATTAAGTGCTATGAAATTATGTTTACGACAGAAAAATACATTACTGTTCTGATACAACTGTGAACCAGTGAATTAAGAGGTTTTAGACGAATTCGAATGACACATTTTAGACGACGTAAATGTATCTGACATTTATACCAGCCGAAGAACCGAAGACATATACAAGTGAATATTTTAAAAAATGCTTTCACGAACTGGCGTTCCGCAGAAACTAAATGAGTATTGATCAATATGGCTTGAGAATCCTAACTCTTATTAAAAAGACGTGGTTGATACGCCTTAGTAAAATGAATTTGTCCAGTACTCCTGTATAGGGATACTACACAAGTTAAACAAATATGTTATTCTCCAGATGAATATCTAGAGTGATAGAGCATAACTAAGTTCACATAATCATATGCATAGCACACGTAAAGGCAACTTTCAACGCGTGAATAAGTGATGGTTATGATTTATGTTAACTCTTACCAAAAATCTCTTACTTTCATGTCACAGCAACCCCTCAACAAAAAGTACGGCTCCACATTTGAACACTTCAAATTCGAGAGGAACGAACGTACATTCATGTAAAATGAAAGATTTTCACCACCATATGATTCTGTCTGACATGTATCATGTAGAAAACCAACTAAGTCATTAGCGTCCACAACAACTTTAGTGTCTTTTAGAAAGAAAGGTTCCCATACAGAGAAATTCCTTAAAAGAATTCTTTCTAGGCCCAATACGGTCATTGTCAATTTACAGGGATTCTGTGCAAAAGGGCAATCTGAAAAATATTAAAGGAATTAAAAGTCTTCTGAGCAAAGCTATGTAGAAATGCAGCAAATTCGACAGTTCCATAATTTAGGAAAATGAATGATATGCGGAACGTCACAAAACGTTACTACCAAAACATTACAAACATACACTAAATAGAGATGATAGAAGTAGAAGATAGAGACCACTCACTGACATATATGATTTAATCAAAAAAGGAAGGCTAATATGAGAAAATGAAGATGTACTTCACTCTAAATCTATATAACTAGATTATCAGGACATCTCAACACCTTTGAAATGGTCTTTCTTTATATCTTTAAACTAATGCATATGTTCTACAAGTATGAGAATATTTCGCATACTGAAATCCTCTGTGTAAGGATGAGTCTAAGACACTCAACGAGTAAGCATCTGGAGTACACCACAAGAGTCAGTTGAGAGAATGAATTCATGCATTTTATAAAGAAATGTGTAGAAACGAATTGACATTCGAAAACGGACTGAAAAGTACTCCATCATATTAGAGCTCGAACTCAATAATATTAGTCTTATTAATGAAAGAACTCAATTAAACTGTATATTACTAGATTATACCATACCGTTTTGTATGGCACAAGGTCTGAGAAGTGATCACTCTATGTAAAATAAGAATAACGACCTCTTGATATTGTGTCGGGATTGAGACACACAAAGCATATGTCATAGTAGTCTACATACACTCGTAGCTAACTGCTGAACATTTTAATATATCTATAGTACTAGAGGCAAACAGGTCGGTGAAGTAATCTGAATGTTCAGAATATAGTGGGGACCTAACTCTGCCGTCTTCTGTGACTTGCGTGATGAAGTCGGAATTTCCATTTTCCAATACTAAATTATTAGGCCTAGCATTACTGAAATTAGTATCTGCAAGTGATGATCTCTTGAGAGAAATCGTAAGTCACGGTTGCCTCAGTAACACTAGGTAGTTCGTCTCGATGAAGTAAAACGCTGAAGTAAGTTTTTTCTGCATAACGCTGCGCAGGTTACTTAGCGACTGAGAAATCACAATGTATGGTAAGCCTTATTTTCCTCATAAGCGATTCTAAATGGAAAGTTGAGAACGATTCTGAGCTATCATGTTCAATGACATCGTTGACAAGATGCTTTAAATTATGCATATTGTAAACTAAGTGTTCTTCATATCCTAAGAGGAAATTATTTAGATTACTGTGAACGCTTGGGCAAAACACTATGCAATCTAGTTTGAATACTATAAATGGACAAATACTGATAAGCGAAGAAAATTTAAATAAAGTCCAGACGGTAATCGGTTAAGAAGTACTGCATGACCCAACCGTAATAAAAACAACCTGCTCTCAGTGCTTTCCAGGTTGGACGACAATTTCTATGGCAGTTCCAACTTGTGTGTTGCTGACAAAAGTGGTATAGCTTCGTTTATGAATTCAAAGATTGATGGGTTCATTTGGTTATGTTGTTTGCTAGATAGTTCAGTCTATGAACAGATGTTTCTTCACTACACCGAGGTGAATGAAGTGTTCTGGCTATAACGGAAATACGTTTAACATACCTTTGGGAAGATTTTCGGAAGAGCTCCTACCACGATGATGGATTATTTGAGACTGACTCCGAAATCTGACACTACTTTTCGAGTTATGTTCAACATTGGAGAGTTATTCGACTACTGAGCCAAGTGCCTATGGCCGGTACTGAGATATCCATATTTCATAACTGTTTTGCAGATGTGTAATATATTTCTTGTTAAACACAGAGCTCTATACAAAGTCTGGTGCTTTTATTATTTGGTCACGACCACGTACACTCCCGAGGCTTTTCTTGTCAGTGAGATTAGAAAACAAATCTTTCGTCTCTTCAGATTATTGAAGATGCCATAAGCTCAGAAAGGTTCTATCCGCCAATATACATACGTCGATCTTCTATTCCGTCAAAAAAATGTTATGCTTCACCTGCACAGGAATATTTAATACAAGAGTTGAGTGGAACGAAATAATATTTCTTCTACTTAGGTCCAGATTGAAGCAAAGAAATATGGGATATACGTTTTTAACTAGTCCCTAACATGCTATATGATGTTTAAAGCAATTAAAATACAGTTTTACTTCGGTTTGGCTCTATAAATTTCTTCATTGGTCCGATGATCAGACCAACGAATAGTCTGATTTCAGATACCATACTTATATTGAACTTTGGCGAAGGCAATATGGTTAGACCATAAATAGCTGACAGTATTTAAGGTCAATTTTTCTTTACACGAACAAAATCGCACTCCTTAGCACATGAGCTATCTAATAGTATCGTAGTTCTCGGTTTTTGTAATTGGTTGATCAATAAAATCTGTTAAAAGGCGAATGCACGACAAGGATTAGAGTTCGAATGCGCAAATTCACTCCATATATAATTACTAATTACTATAGCAACATCTTGATAATATACGGAAGGCGCGAGAACACGTTACCATCCGATCACCTGTTTGTAGTACAATTTCTTTACTTTGGATCCAATATCCAATATCTGTTTCACGAGCTAGTATAAACCAATTGATTTCTTTGCGCTCCATTCCTGTTCTTTCGGTACGGTTCCAGGTGTTTGATAGTGTCCGAAGGATGCGGGTCTAGCCACTCGACTGCCTAATCCTAGTCAGTTGGCAGTTGTTTGTGAGTTTGAAAGGTTCGTGGTTTGAATGAATACCTTTGTTTCAAGGCAGTAGGGTTTCTGGATATTAGAAAATACCACATCACCAGACCGGAGATCAGTTAGTCACACTGTGGAGAATAATAATAAGAAAACTCTAATACTAATAAGAATAAGACTTCAGAAGTTAGAAAATAAATGGATAATTTAATTCACTAATTGGTAGTGAAGATTGTGCCAGAGGACTGAAGTGTAAGCAAGGGAGAGGAAACGGAGATAATAAATGAGATACATTTCGTAAGTGACCTGGGGAAATGGCAATAATAACAACAAACAGGTCTCAAGACATGCATAAGGCGCAGCTGGTCTACGAGGGAGATGATAATCCGTACGTGAATACGCACTTATCAAGTTTATTCCTAAAGCTGTCCACTGAGTAGGCTGTGGTCACCTCGGCTTGGAAAGCATCCAAAATTGCAACGACTCTTAACGAGAAATAGTGTGCACGAACCTGAGTGTTCGCTCTTTGATGCACAATTTTTCCAGGATTACCTTGAGGAACGTGGTGTTGATGCTTCGGGAGCATGCTCACATTGAGATGATTTGGCGTGCCTAATATGTATGCCACAATGAGATCACCTCTGATTTCCCTGTAACTCAGGGATAATTACCCGAAGTGCTGCGATTTGGTAAAAACCCACTGATTTCTTTACGCCCGCTTCTTGTTTATTCGGCACTGTTCCAGGTATCTGATAATGTAGCGATAAAACATAAGTTCCACGTTGAGGAGGACAGGAAGCTGGATGGCCAGTATTAGCCATCACGATTTGACCTCTCAGTTGATGTAGCTTTTTCTTGAATGCGCTGACAGGTGTAGCTTCAGTAACATGTTAGAGTAATCAGTTCCACTCGCCGACGATCCGAATGAGAAGGGTGGTAGCCAGCTGACAAGTAATTTGCCCTCGGCTAGTGAACAATTTTATACTTTCCATGTAAATCCTTAGTTTTCGAATGTAACCAAAATGAAGGCATGTCAGGTGCGAACACTTCACTGAGTAATTAAAAACTGTACCTATACTCCTTCTATATGATGAAGGAAGTATGTTTAATTTAAGCAATCTTTCTTTATACGACAGCAGCGCGGTTCCATTGGCGGTTATTTGAACCTTTTCAATATCCCACTCCGATTTTAGGCGGTTCTGGCGGTCTGCATATAGTACTGGAGTCCACGCCGAATAAATACTACATACAAAGTCGGAAATGGCTAAACGTTATGCGTTCTGACCTCAGGGTTCTAAAACCTTAAAGGCTATAGCACAGAACTGTGCAGTGGTTTTCAAGTCTTGGGTAATGTTAATGCATCGGTAAGATGCTCACGTTGGAATGGTTTAGCGTGCCTAGTATAATAATAATAATTTATTCTCAAATAACGAATATTTTACGAGAGGCATGCCAATTTACAGGCAAGATCAAAATGTTAACTTCGGTAACATATATCTTTTAAAACCGTGTACAGTCACTGATATATTTCATAAGATACATTGGCTCCATTCAGATTGTCTACAATGTACAACGCGAATAATTGGCGCGAGTTACGGCGATTGTGTTACGACAAGCTTCCTAATTACCTTGAAACAATGTAAGTTAAAGCCAGGTCTGCTTATAACAAGAATTGATGAGGTAAATGTGCCAAGAACTGGTTGAAAATTTAACAGGCCTATGGGTAAAGTAACCAAGTCTTCGGTAAATATCCAGACTAATACATAGGTTTTGGAATAAGGTGCTGAAAAATGAGAAATAAAGAAAACGGGGCGAGGAGCAGTATAGAAAATATTCTTGTTAAAAGACTAACAATGACTCAGCACATACGTTTCTGGATAAAACAAATATATGTTCACTCAGACGTTTTTTTCTTCATTAGAACACTAACTGTATGCCTGCATTTATGTAGGTTAATGCAGACAGTTCAGTAGTGAGATAATGAATGGACATTTAGCCGTATGAATAAAGGAAATTCAGAATAACCAAATTGTTAGCAACAATGATGATTTACAGATTATAATAATGAGGCTCAGTGATCTTATGCTTTTATTTTATTCCTATTTATCCTTTTTCTTTTTAACTCTGTGGCTCAAGAAGTTATGAATGAGCTCTTTTTCTGCATAATTGTCCAAATCTGCTTGTAATAGGATTTCTCGGTAGGAAGTTAATACCAGTGCAATGTTACGGACATGAGTCGTAGACGAGGTTAACAAGGAAAAGTAACCTCAATATCACCGATTTGTTACATCCTGCTATATCGTAAGGAGCCGTAAGCAAACAAAATGTTCTGCCACACAGACATGGGTAGATTGAGGTTATCGCCCCACCGTCATGAATGTTGTTCAGGTACACCACCCTCCCTCCTTTTGTGATGTGAGGCTCTCTTTCGTTTAATGGTTGACTGTAAATAATGTTTTCTAGTCTACTCTCTATTTGTTTGTACACCTTATCGGAATTCATTTTCTCTACTAGCTACAAATTAA